TCCATCCATCCATCCATCATTCATCCATCCATCCATCATCCATCCATCATCCATCCATCATCCATCATCCATCCATCCATCATCCATCCATCATCCATCCATCCATCCATCCATCCATCTTGTGCAGGAAGTCCAGACCGAGTCATTGCTCCATCAGACCTCCAGGGTTCTGCAGAACACGTGACCCAAAGCTTCCAAAAGAGCAGAACCTCTGTGATCTCAGCCCAAACTAAGAGACCTCCATCCTCCAGCAGATGGACCTGCAGTGGGCGTCCAGAACCCCTCAGAGGTTCTGCAGTCAGAACTGGAAGGAGATGACGGAGTTGACTTTGTAGACGTGGTACGAACGGTTCCAGAACACCCGGGTGAAGTAGTTGGTGTAGGGCGAGTAGTTCATCTTGACCTCCTGGCAGAAGCGGCCATGCTTGGAGGAGGAGAACATCCGGGATCCGTCGTGGACGACCTATCGGGTCAGAACGTGCAGCCGGTGAGCGCAGCGGCGGCAACATGGCGGCGTCTGCGGAGGTGATGACTCACGTGTCTGTTGGAGACGTCCAGCAGGTCTTTGAGTCTGCAGCCCTTCTTCAGCTGGACGTCATTGCAGATGGACTCCTCCACGATGACGTAGGTGGTCTTCTGAGCCGTCAGACATTTGTAGACGTCCTCCGCAGACCTCATGGAGTAAACCTGGTAGGTCTGTGAGGACAGATGAAGCAGCAGGTGAAAACGTTTCACTCACCAGACGACGTTACAGAGACAGGAAGCAGCAACTGAAGGAGAACCAGAACTTCAGTCCAACAACAGTTCTACCGGAACCAGGACCGGTTCTACCAGGACCTTAACCGAACCCGGGACCGGTTCTACCAGAACCTTCACCGGACCCAGAACCGGTTCTACCAGGACCTTAACCGGACCGAGGACTGGTTCTACCAGGACCTTAACCTGACCCGGGACCGGTTCTACCAGGACCTTAACCGGACCGAGGACCGGTTCTACCAGGACCCTAACCGGACCCGGGACCGGTTCTACCAGGACCTTAACCGGACCCGGGACCGGTTCTTCAAGAACCTTCACCGGACCGAGGACCGGTTCTACCAGGACCCTAACCGGACCCGGGACCGGTTCTACCAGGACCTTAACCGGACCCAGGACCGGTTCTACAAGAACCTTCACCGGACCGAGGACCGGTTCTACCAGGACCCTAACCGGACCCGGGACCGGTTCTACCAGGACCTTAACCGGACCCGGGACCGGTTCTACAAGAACCTTCACCGGACCGAGGACCGGTTCTACCAG